GTCCCAGTTTTCTTCTGTGAAACATTTGAGTCTATGAACTGATCACAATCTTTCTCCACTCTAGGAAGAGAAATTTCTATTTAAATTACATTAACTATTTCTAAATGCACGCGCACACACGCACACACAAAAGCAAATTCAAACTTCATCCAGATCTATGTTCTCTTCTTCCTCTCCATCTTTTCTCTTTACTTGATGATGCATTTCATTTTGTATGTGATGTTAAGAGGTCACCTTACATCTACTTTTAAGTTCAACCTGTAATATCAGGCCTGATTTTTAATTTGTTTTATCTCTTACCCATCCCCACTCTTCCTTCCTTTTTCTCTCTGTCATTTCTGGGCTGGTATGCTGGTTACAGTGATTACTTCTCCCTAGGAAACTGTAGGGATTTTATTAGAGAAGCACTATAGGTTTTTATCTCTGTACTAGTAATCATGCTGCAAAACAGAGAGCCGCAACAGCAAATGCCATGCTGGTCAGGGACTCTAGATGTTAGGATCCACAACATTAACTTTCCAGCCACTACATTAATTAAAGAAGATCTCAGTAAGTTCTGGTTACCTCCCAATTAGACTACTGTAATGCATGCTGCGAGGGGGTATTGTAAAGTAATAATTATCACCTGGACATTATTATGGTATATTGATGAAATTCTCTCAATGTCATCATCACTAAGTGACTTCTCCCCCCCCCAATGAAAAATCCATTTTGGGGTCACCGATTTGACAACACAGATGACATCATTCATGAAGTGGTTTAAGGCGCAATCTGCACACTTCTACAATAACAGTATTTGGAGAGTCAAGAAACGCTGGGAAAAATGTGTAAATCTGGATGGTGACTACATAGAGATACGTTAACAACTACAAATCAAAAAACTTTCTGTCAATTTTTTTAAAAGATGATATTAAAACTTTACGATACCCTCTTGTATGTGAGGCTACCCTTGAAAAGTGTTTGGAAGCTGCAGCTAGCACAAAATACAGCAGCCAGAGTGGTGTTGGGAGTGCATTTTAGAGACCACATAACACCGGTCATACAAGAACTGCACCGGCTTCCAATTTACTTTTGAGTGCAATTCAAGGCGCTGGTGCTGACTTACAAAACCCTAAACAGCTTGGGGCCAGAATATCTGAAAGACTTCTTCCTTTCATATGAGTCTGCCCAAAATTTGAGATCATCAGATCGTATGTCATATGTTACACTGTAAATATAACTCTCTGTAGCAGCACCTGGACTGTGGACCTCCCTACCCAAGTAGGGTTACCATATCCCGGTTTTGGCTGGGACATTCACATAGAATCATAGAGTTGGAAGAGACCACAAGGGCCATCCAGTCCAACCCCCTGCCATGCAGGAACTCCCAATCAAAGCATCCCTGACAGATGGCCATCCAGCCTCTGCTTAAAGACCTCCAAGGAAGGAGACTCCACTACTCTCACAGTTTTTAACCCTTTGCGAATGTCCCGGCCTGGGTTTGGAGCCGGCCTGGGTTTGGAGCCTGGCTCCTGGCTCCCGGCTCCCAACTCCCGCTTCCTCCTCCTCCTCCACTGCCGCCTCCTGCTGTGCTTTCAGCGCAGCGGCAGTGGCATGCAAGGCCTAGCTGTCATGCTAGGCCTCACTGGGGTTGGGGGGGTTCGGGGGGCCTCCACTGCTGCCTGCCACATGGGGCCCCAGCTGGCTGGCTGAGTCCCAAGGAGGGAGGCTTCCATGGCAAGGCCTCTCCTGCAGTGGTGGTGGAGCCAGCTGAGCCCCAAGGAGATGGAGGGAGGCTGGCAGAAGTGCTGGGTTCAGGTAAGGTAGGTGAGGGTAAGGTAAGAAGTGCTAGGTTCAGGTAAGGCTGGGGGCTTGGGGCTGCCTCTGCCGCCTTGGCCTCCCTGGCCATGCTTTTGGCCAGGCATGAGCTTTCCTAAACTAAAGTCTGCTTCCTCAGATGCATTTAGTCTCAGAGATGCTCCCAAATCTCTATGTCTTTGAATTCTATTATTATTATTATTATTATTAACTGAAAGAAAGAAGTTGGCAGCATGAGTTTTCCTAGACGAAAGACTGCTTCCTCAGATGCGTTTAGTCTCAGAGATGCTCCCAAATTTCTGTCTTTGAATTCTCCTTCCTCAGATGTATTTTATTATCTTTGTTGTTGTGTGCCTTCAAGTTGTTTCCAGAGAAGAGGAGCTACATTTCAACCTTCTGTCTAGGAAGAATGTCAAAATCTTCTCTATTCTGAGCATGACTAAGGGCCTTTGCAGACTGCCAGAAATAATGTAGCTTGAGGCCACTTTAACTGTCCTGGCTCAATGCTAAGGAATCATGGGAAATGTAGTTTGTTGTGGTACCAGGGCTCTCTGACAGAGAAGGCTCAATGTCCCAGAAAAAATACAGTTCCCATGATTCCTTAGCATTGAGCTAGGACAGTTAAAGTTGACTCAAGCTGCATTATTTCTGGCTGTCTGTAAAGGCCCTAAGAAGCATGGATTTATAATGATGTTTTTGGCTTTTAGTTAGTTGTGTCCTCCATTATTCCTGAATGTCCTACATTTTGGGCTAAATTTGTCCTACATTTCAGCCTAAATTTTGTCCTACATTTTTTCTACATTTTGTCCCAGTTGGGTGGTAGAGAATTATGGCAACCTGATACCCAAAAAAGATAGGCTGGATCCATCTCTTTAGAGCAGGGGTCAGCAACCTTTGTTGCCGGGGGGCCGGGGGAGGGGGGGAAATGATGCGGGGGACGGTTGTGCAGGAGATGGGGGTACATGTGCGCGCTTGATTCACCCCAGAATCAAGCAGAGGCACCTTGGAGGACTGTTTCCAAGGCACCTTAGAGGACCATTTCCAAGCGGAGGCACCTTGGAGGACCGTTTTCAAGGTGAATTCACACCAGGATCAAGCGAAAGGACCTTGGAAAGGTCCCTCCAAGGTCCCACCGCTCGATCCTCGAGCGGTGGGGCCTTTCAAAATGGCGTCCGCGCTGAGTGCGCATGCGCACGCAATGCGGGGCACCATTTTGGAACACCCACGGCGCCGTGCGCAGCCATGGCCGTTCCAAAATGCCGCTTCCCAGGAGTGGGAGCGTGCCCAGCAGCAGCAGGCGGTGGCAGGGGTCCCTGGGGGCTAGACCTGGCCCACGGGCCGTAGGTTGCCGACCCCTGCTTTAGAGCTTCTAATGGGCAATTGAAGCAGTGCTGTTCTGCACAGCCATTCATGCTTGCAACTGTTAAGACTGTTTCAAAAAGGTTTTAAAATAGTATTCTGATGGCTTTTTTTCTTTTTTTTTAAAGAGTTATATTTCTGTAGTTTTAATTGGTTTGTTTTAAGAGACAGTCTGGTGTATTGGTTTGAGGATTGGACTACAAACCATTGTGTGACCTTGGGTGAGGCACAAACTCTCAACCCCAGAAATTTCCATCACCATAAGTCAGAGATGACTTGCAGGCACACAGCAGCAACAATTGCTTTTATTTGTTCAACTCAGAAGTCCTTTTGGGCTGGTAAGCAATATAGAAAGATCTTAAACAAACAAACAACCGATATCTTTGTGTGATTACAGTTATCAGAGATCACAAGTTGGATCAGGGGTAGGCAACCTAAGGCCCGGGGGCTGGATGTGGCCCCCTGAGGCCTTTGGACCGGCCCCAGGCCGGTCCTGCCACCGCCGCCGCCACTGCCCCCCCATGATGATATTGATTATTGTTGTTATTACTTGTTCTTGGGGTTTTCTTGGCAAAATCTCCACGGGGTTTTGCCATGACTTTTCTGGGGCTGAGAGAGTGTGCATGCATATTTTTTTAATTTTTAATTTTTGGGGGAAAAAATAAAATTATTATTGTTTTATTTATTTATTTTGGTGCTTCGGCCCCCCAATTGTCTGAGGGACAGCAACCCGGCCCCCGGCTCAAAAAGGTTGCCTACCCCTGAGTTGGATGTTTCAACAACATTTCACTGGGGGAGCTATTATCCACAAGAAGCAGCTGGGTTGCATAGAAAGTTTCCCTGCAGTCAAGGCATGGCCAACACATTTAATTTTAGCCTCTTCCTACTTCCATAAATCTGCAGCACAGATCTAAATCAGAGTATGTCTCAGTGGCATGGTTAAAATCAATAACTTTTATTTCCTGAGCCAAAATAAAACTCGCCACAGTGGCAATGTGTATTGTAACTTTATAGTTGATTATCATCATTCATACCCAAACTGTAGTTAAATATTCCCAGCCTGCTTTTATGACCAAGGACACTTCAGCGTAATATATCTAAAGAGAGTTTTATTGATCAGAGAACATCTGCTGACACTTAAATGTGTATGCATATAAACAAGAACATAAGCTTTGCAAGTCTGCAATTTTTGATCCTCATAAAATTAGAATTTATAATCAAGCCCACGATGTAATGTTTTCTTTATCAGCTTCATAAAGATAAAGTAATGTAAGCCAGGCCGGTGGATTACAAAACTGTTATAAGACTGCAGAATCTTAGGTTTTTAAAAATAATTTATAGAAGAAAAGCTTCATTATTTTCTCTTTAAACTTTGCCCTCTTTCATCCCTTGTGCCATTTGAAACAGAATGGATCTGGCAAGTCCTAGTTATTAAAAGCAGAAATAGAAATTATATAAAATATTGGGCATAAGGTATTTGAAATTGATTTGAACATGAGGGTCTTAAGCATATACTTAAATTTAGATTAGTCCTATTGCTATTGTTCACCAAAGCTTGATTTAATAAAATGGTGGCAAATGATGATCCTTTATTTTAAGCACGTTTGTTAAACAATTTATTTTTAATGACCAAACCTCTCATCATTTGTAACCGGCTTAGCTATATGCTCTTCTCTATTCCCACTTTTGTTGTTGTTCTGTGCCTTCAAGTGTTTCCAACTTATGGCAGCCCTAAGGCCCTATAATGGAGTTTTCTTCACAAGCTTCTTCAGGGGAGGTTTACCATTGCCATCCTCTAAAGCTAAGAGACTGTGACTTGCCCAAGGTCACCTGTTGGATTTACATACCTGAGCGGGGATTCGAACCCTTGACTCCAAATTCATAGTCCAACACGCAAACCACTACACCACACTGGCTCTCATGTTCTACAATCTTGTTTTTCTACCTCAGGAATCTTAGCAGCAGTGTCTCACTCAGAGAGTTGTCTCTTGTTTTCCGGATGACATGCCCCAAATGGGTCTGTATTTAATGCCCCCAAAAGGGCCCTCTGTTTTGCCAGCCTTCTTTTTTGAGGTATCTGCTATGATGGCAAGTAAGGTTAGGGGAGAAGAGTGAGAGGTATGGACTGTTTGTTGGAAAGAGAACTTTTATACAGATGATGATAAACTGAGGGAGTTAAGAGGAAGGAGGTGTTGTGAGAGTGAAAATGAAAGAGGCAGGCACCTTCTTTGCTTCAACATGCTCTCACCCTCAAGGCTGAAATTTCAGCTAAAATGTAGGCACTGCAGCTGGGCCGACTACTGAAAACACAAGACACTTGGTCAAATTTTGCACAATGTCCCGATGAGTTATTACCATCACAGATTAGAAGACAGACAGGCAATCTCAATTTTTATTATAGAGGTTCCTTTTCTTTGATAACCTCTGCTGATACTCAGTGATGTGTAATGCATAATGGATGCCTCATATGTCCTATCTATGCTCATCATTTCATTCCAAGAGTGTCCATGGATCATGACCAGGCTATTTTCTTTGCTAGCAATAGTAACTGCCCAGATGGTGTTTTTTTTTCCTGCATTTCTTACTTGATGCTGCAGTAAACAACAGAGTTTGGTACCCATCCCAGAGATTTACAAGGGTGTATCATTCTCCAAGATAAGGTGATGTTTTCCTAGTTTACAGTGATTCAGTTTTCAATTTTAAAATAATGTGTTTTTATCATACATTATTATTAAGATATTTTAAAGGGGAAATTATTTATGCTACTTATTCATTTTTAAAATAGGTATGCAGAAGAACCTATATGAAAAGATGTCATAGGGCTTTGTTTAATTTTTTTCCTTAATGGTCTTCCACCAGCTCACTTTATTTTTTCTGCATCTACTCATCACTTCAATAAGGCAGTTGAATTTACCCAACCAGTTTAAAAAATTATGAAGAGATTTGGGGCTGATCTGGATAATCTCCTTGGGGTCACTTCCAACTATGGCTGGCCCAAAACATTCTACTGCTGAAGGTGAGAAACAAAATGAGAAGGCACAATACTCAGGAGGGTATAAAACTATATTCTCCTTCCACACTAAATTAAAGGTAAGATAAAGGTGTCCAACTCTAGGAGGCGGTGCTCATTTCTGTTAGTAAGCCAACAGAGCCATGATTTCAAAGATGACTCTATGGTCATGTGGTCAGCATAACTAAGTGCCGAGATGCACAGAACATTGTTACCTTCCCACCAAAGTGGCACCTATTTATCTATTTGCATTTTTACATGCTTTCACACTGCTAGTTTCGTAGAAGCTGGGACTAATGATGGGAGCTCACTCTGTCATGCAGCACTTGGGTCTCAAACTGCTGATCTGCCAACTTTGTGGTTGGCAGAATCAGCATCTTAACTGCTAAGCCACCATGTCCCCCACACTAAACTGAGGAGACTATCGCTCTGCACTCTTAAAATGGGGCTAGGTTGCTTTAACCACTATGGATGCATACTGTTGCATTCTGGAACTTGTAGTTTAGGAAGGATCATTTAGCATATTCAGCCAGAGAACAGGACTGGGAAAGAAATGAAAAAATTTGGATGCCGCTGCTTAACTATATCAATAATAGAGAAAAAAGGAAGAAATGAAAAGGAAAAGGAAAATTGGGAGAGATGACTGAGTGATAATAATATAGGAACACTAATAAGGAGTGATAATTGAGAAGAAGAGGGATTAACCGAAGATAATTTGGTTAAATAAAATTATGTTATCTTAATATGTAAAGATATAAATATAAAATAAATAATGTATAGAATCATATATAGAAAGACCAAATCTCAGTTTAAATCTCAGAATAAGAAGGAAGGTTTTTATGGTAAGATATGGAAATGACTTGATGAAGGATCCAGGAAGTAAATATTTTGTTAGTTATTATTTTATCTGTAGTGTTTTAGTAGGTATCAAGGGTGTTGTGATTTTTGTGTGTTTTATAATGTGCAATGTTATATGTTGTATTTTAATTTAATAAACTTTGAGGGGGGGGGGAAGAGAGCCTTTAAGCATCACTGAACTATAAACCCCAAAATGCAACAGGAGGCAGTCAGAGCAATTAAAGTGACCTAGCCCCGTTTTAAGAGTGTGGGACAATAAGCTCATAAATCAGGGGTAGGCAACCTTTCCCCTTTAAGGGCCGAGGGACTTCAGCTCCCAGAATCCCAGGAGCTATTGGCCAACATGGGACTATTGGCCAACATGGCTAAGGCTTCTGGGAGCTGAAGTCCCTCGGCCCTTAAAGGGGAAAGGTTGCCTACCCCTGCTCTAGGTAGAGTTCCTGCAATGAGCAGGCGGTTGGACTGGATATCCCATGAGGCACCTTCCAACTCTAAGATCAGGGGTAGGCAACCTTTCCCCTTTAAGGGCCAAGGGACTTCAGCTCCCAGAATCCCAGGAGCTATTGGCCAACATGGGACTATTGGCCAACATGGCTGAGGCTTCTGGGAGCTGAAGTCCCTCTCCCCTTAAAGGGGAAAGGTTGCCTACCCCGTCATAAATTAACCTCCACTTAGATCAGTGGTGCAAAGGGATCTTATAGTGCCTTTGAGACTAAATAAGAGAATGAAGATGATAGCAAAAGCTTTTGTAGACTAAGGTTGGGTCCAGACAGGCCAGAATACTCTAGGAGCAGCCTGGAGTATTCTAGCCCCAGAGCTGCTTACCTTTGGCACCCCAATGTAACAACAGACAGCTGTTCACATGTGTGTCCCACTGTGCTGCCCAGCACCACTGCCACTGTTGTGAGTTGCTAACTCTGAGGTTAGAAGGAAGCACCCAGTGTCTATCACATGGTTAGGTGCCTTCCTCTCACTTCAGAGTGAGCGACTCACACCAGTGGCCGTAGCACCAAGTGGCACAGCGGGATGCATTGAAAACATCTGCCTAGTGTCACAACAGAGGGCTCTGAATCTTCTGGAAAGATTGAGAGCAAAAAGTGATTTTAAAAAAGTGTTAAGGGTGTCATACCTCTGGTTTGGTGATGAATTGGCTAAATGTTGCCTGGCCAGCTTGCACCAGAATTGGAGTTTGGGCCCTGTGTCATCTGGACCGGACACTGTGGGAATGGGTGGAGGGCATTTTATTTGGCCTGTGAGGACAACCTGGGTCTGCTTCATCAGATGCATCAGATGCATCTGATGAAGTGGACTCTGTCTATATGAAAGCTTATACTACCAACTTTTTTCTCAGTTTCAGAAGTGCTGCAGGATCCCTTTGCATAGTGATCCAGACTAACACAGCTATGTTTCTGCATAATATCAGTGAGATTATTCTAGAGAAAATTTTGTTTCTTCTTTTAATCTAGAGAAGATAAGAGTTGCACTGAGAACATCAATGGGGGAGCCCAGGATGCTGGGGACGGGAGGTCCTGCTGGCCAGGAGATTAGTGGCACCTTTGGGGAGATCCCCAGCTTGGATCCGAGGGCACCCAACCCCCGTCCCAGCCTTTTGGAGAGTGGGAGGGACTCCTGAAGGGTTGCAGTATCTCAGATCTACCTCCCTCCCAGGTCCCAGGGAAGGCCAAGGTTGACCCCCTCCAAAACCCCAGGAAGACCTTCTGTGCTTGCTTGCTCCCTCCCTCCCTTCCCTGACAGGATTTTTTAAAAAAAATCAGTCAAATCATGTACACCTTTGCCATATCAATGATGTTAGTATTTAAAGGTACTGTCTACTGTGGCCATGCAATTGCAAAGGTGTACATAAGCCGTCAAATTTTATTTTATTTTTTAAAAAGTATACTATCTAGTGATGTTCCCAGGAGAACCCACTCCATGGCTTTAGCTTTGGAGAGAGCAAAGGGGCAGCCATGATCTGCTCCCTGTACATTAACCCCTCCCTTCCTCTGCTCTGAAAATAATTGCTAAGTGTATTTTGGAAAAAGCTTTCAAATGGCTCCAGAAGGTTCAAAATGCTTTTATTTAGTTATGCAAGGCTTACCTGTCCTGTACCTGTCCTTTGTGGTTGTCAGAACCGGCATCTTAACTGCTAAGCCACCATGTCCCCCACACTAAACTGAGGAGACTATCGCTCTACACCAGGGGTAGGCAACCTTTTTGAGCCGGGGGCCGGGTTGCTGTCCCTCAGACAATTGGGGGGGCCGAAGCACCAAAAATAAATAAATAAATAAATAAATAATTTTTTAAGAAAAAAATTAAAAAATTAAAAAATATGCATGCACACTCTCTCAGCCCCAGAAAAGCCATGGCAAAACCTCTGTGGAGATTTTTGCCAAGAAAACCCCAAGAACAAGTAATAACAACAATAATCAATATCATCATGGCAGGCGGCGGCGGGGGGCAGCAGCGATGGCAGGATTGGCCTCGGGCCGGTCCAAAGGCTCAGGGGGCCGCATCCGGCCCCCCGGGCCTTGGGTTGCCTACCCCTGCTCTACACTCTTAAATGGGATAGGCAAGCAGGAGCCAGGAACACGTCCTTGACACTTTATAGACACAAATGTGACAAATACGTGAGCGTATTAAACCCAGTCGCATGTTATTAACAATTTAAAGGCACCTTAAAAACACTTTAGCCTCCTGTGTGATAATCTCCATTGTCTAACAAGTTATGTCAGTTTTTGCTGCCAAGAAATAGATACAGTGATATTTGTCATAGTCTATGCCACTGTCCCATTGAATTAGTTTGATAACTAATCAGGGCTGATCTATCTTAAGTAGTCACTTGGCTACATTGATGAAATTTTTTTCTTCACAATGAGAGACATCAGTGGATTTTGGAAATATATAGATTTCCTGCCCAATTCTTGGCTCTAATCAAGATCACACAAAGCAGCTCCAGCATGCCAATTGGTACTTATGCAGTTCTTTTCATACCATTGCTCTATGTGTTCTCCCCAATGCAGATACTGTAATTTCATCTGGAATGGGAAA